CTTGGATTTGATCTTCGGCGTCGGCTTCATCTGCACCATAGCGGGTCTCTTGGCTGGAGCCTCTGACATCGAAGGATCCGCTTGGAATTCCCTCACCCCGGTGTGGGACGACGGTGCTTCCGCCGCTTCCGTCTCTTCCATGACGTACTCTACCGAAGGAGATGAGGTCGAAGGGTCCAGCCTTGCCGAATCCAGGTCCAGATCCATCTCGTCCCCTCCAGTGGACTCCGCCTCGGCATACGACGCCTGGAGCTCCTCTCGGAGCGTCTGTGGCAGCTCTATGCCGTGCTGCGCGGCGTGGGCTTCCAACAATATCAGTCTCCTGCGTCTCGCCCCCTGGCGCATGCCTTCCAATTGTTGAATGCTCCGTTGCATCGTTGCACTCGGATCCATAGCGGCGGTCTCCTATCTGTCCTGCTCTAGGAAAACTTCGCCTCTTTGAGCAATCCAAGCTGCCAGTCTCTACCTCATCAGGGAAATCCTCCAAGCAAGCACGACAGACAACTGTTTCCCTACCATGCTCATGCACAAGACGCTCAACTGCTGGTGTGGTGCTGTTGTCCTGTTGCTTGTGTGAGATAACGCTGCTGTCATTTTTAAATGCAAGCCGCTCGACTGCTGGTGTGGTGCTGTTGTCCTGTTGCTTGTGTGAGATAACGCTGTTGTCTTCACGAAAAATCAAGCGCTCATCCCTATCAAGCTCACGAACAACTGGCGTATCCACATGACTGAAAAATTGAAGTTGATCCCTCGCAGAGCCGGAAACGTCACCGACTGTCCTTAGTCTGTCCTTAGCTTCGCCTTGGTCCAGGTCAACATGTTCGTGGCTCGTCTGAAACTCGCAATCAACTACCTCATCAAGACATGAAACATCCAGCAATTCGGGGTTTTCGGGCTCAACACACACTCTCGCAGAGCTGCGATGACCTCGATTCGAAGTTGAACGATGAAAATCACGACTCGAAGACGACTTGCGAGACCGACTTCGACGAAACTGTTCCGTTTTGGCGATCAAATCCTGCGGTTTCAGCGCTAAAGGATGGTCATTCCGAACTGACGCAAGCCAACTAACTGAAGCAAACATGGTTGGTCTCAGCGTTACGCCGTGCTTTCGGACGGTAATTACGCCCTGCTGGTCGCACATTGCTGGCTCCCAACCTCCATTCAAGTTGATGTTCAGCAAATTGTGCTTGATCTGATCGGAAATGACGGCTTCAAACCTAGCCCTACACATGTACACAGCGTCACCCTCATGCTCAGAACTGCTCTTCGATGATGCTGGGGTGGTGGTTTCAAAGCAAACTTCCACTAAAACATGTGTTGATCCGCCAATTTCAACGGAATCTCCAGTCGCAGTCTCCGCATATGACTTCGGGCGTCCTTCCAACCAACTCAGGATTTTCACGTGGTCGCTCTCAAGCGTCTCTCTCGTGATGATGTGGAACGAACTACCAGAGTCAATCAGCCAGTAAATGCGATCATCTGAAGGAAAACTAACCACTTGGTTCGTGAGCATCATACCAAAGTGATATCCCTCCAGAAACGTCTTGATTGATGACTGTGCTTTTCCACTACCCTTGGTTGTGGGCTGCGCTGCTGCTTTCGCCGAAGTAGACGATGAAGATGATGGTGCCTCTGGCTGCGTCGTAACGGCCTGGCTCGTCGCCGCTGCGGCTTTGTCCTTCGGAGGTGCCCAGCAGTCGCGTGCCCAGTGTCCAGTCTTCCCGCAGTTCCGGCAGACATCTGTCTTCTTCGCTTCTCTGCTCTTGCTCCGAGCTCTGTCTCTGTCTCCTTTTCCGCCTTGGTCACCTTTCTTGTCCTTTCCTTTCGCTTTGCCACCCTTCTGTCCCTTTTCTCCTTTCTCGCCTTTGTTGCCTTTGTTGCCCTTGGGGCCTTTGTTGCTCTTGTCTCTGTCGCCCTTTCCGCCTCTGCCACCCTTGAAGGCATTCGCATACCCGGATGCTCCTTCTCTCTGGAAGTCCATCACACGAAGCTGCTCGTCGTAAAACTGCAAACCAGTCATCAGCTCACCCATGCTCTTTGTTGAGTGATGGAGGAGCAGATATCTCTTGGTCTCAGAATCCAAGTGCTTCATCAGGCACAGGACTCCCTCTTGTTCTCCGATGAGCAACTCCGGGAAGCGATGCTTCACCTGCGCCTCGAACTTGAGAAGCTCGGTGGTGTACCACCTGGCGACATCAAGTGGTCGCTTGAGATGCTTTGGTGGCACCAGGCCTAACGCCTGTTCGCGGAGGGCCTGTCCCTCCACTCTGGAGCGAACTGACAATTCGTTGTTCAACGAGCGCCAGAGTTCGTATCCGGCACTTGCTCCCATTTGTTTCACCTCGATGAGATGCACCAAATCTTGCCCACGTTGGAACTTGCTCATGGACTGACGAAGCAAAAACCAAAGTTTGGTTGACCGGGCTGCTTTCCCGGCTTCAAGCCTCACTTGCAAGACTTCCACATTGCTACTGATCGCTTCTTGCAATTCCGTAGCGTAGTGGTCGTCGAGCAAACAAAGCCAACTCGTAAGTTCGTCTCTGTAGGCTGTCCAAACTCGGATTTCAGCATGTCTGCTCGTCATGGACGCATAGTTCAGCTGAGGCAACTGTGGAATGTAACCCTCTGCTCTCTTGTTTCGTACACCAGAGTCTACTTCCATGTCCACAGGAGTCGATGCATTCGCAGGTGCTGCTGAGGGGTCTCCTCCAGGTGTAGGACTCGTCGACGATGAAGCTGCAGCTGCTGCAATATGCGCATTGGCAGCATTCGCACTTGCAAGCTGCAATGCTTGCGTAAGCATGGCACTCATCTGTTGAAATTGAGCTGCCTGCTGTCGGATCTGCTCGTCCTGCGCTTGCAGCATTGCTCTCGTGAACTCCATCTGTTGAGCTACTCCAGGTGCAATGGGCAACTGCATATTCGGAACTTGAAGGGGTTCTTGTGGTGCTGTCTGAGGGGGTGTTCCCATCTGGTAGAACTGAGGTCCAAACGAAGGCACAGCCCCAACTGGTGGCTGATGGCCTGCTCCAGTCGTAGCTGTCCACTGCCTTGGGTCTACTCCGCTGGAACTGAAGCTGCGCGCTGGCAAAGACCTTCCACGTTCCTTCTCCCACGGGCACTTGGTGACCTTGCACCAGAAAGCCCTGTGGAACTCAGGCTGCTTGCACTGCGGCCTCTCGGAGAACGGTCTCGTCCAGGCACACGTTCTTCACCAGTGTCCATGCTGGAGCACGAAGCTCCGCTACCACGTTGAAACTCGTGGCACAGCTACGGGGCCTAAGAGACCTCAGGTCAAGACTACACTCAGCACGAAGGGCGGACTCTTTTTCACTGCGCTGTTCACAGCTTCTTGAGCTTCGCTCGTCTTGAGCCAATGCGAGCTCTCCAGCTTCAAACACTGTCTGCCAGACATGGGGAAAACAAAGGTACTTCAGGTGAAAACACTCAGATGGAACTTCTACTAAACACTGTGGGTAGGTTCCTAGCACCTCTTAGGTGCTGCAAACCTAAACTGGCTTGAGTCACTTCTAGTCACCAAATACCAGGTCACAAACAGGAAACGAGTTCCGATAAACGAGTTTCGAAAAATGAACAGAAAAAAAACAGTTCTTCCCACTCAAAACAAGGTCTCACCAAGCCAAATAGAAATCTGCACTTCTGACATGTCAGACCTAAACTGGCTTGAGTCACTTCTGGTCACCAAATACCAGGTCACAAACAGGAAACGAGTTCCAACAAACGAGTTTCGAGAAAACGAACAGAAAAACGGTTCTTCCCACTCAAAACACGGTCTCACCAAGCGAGAGAAATCTGCACTGCCTGACATGTCCTTGTGCCTATGCTTCACACTCATAGCAGACAATTCAAGTGCACATCACGTGTCAACCGGGAAACTAGGAGAGTTACATATATCAACTGCCGCATCATATCCAACAAAGATAAAATCTTAACCAACCCACAGGGAGCCTAATTTGGGCTCATAACCTTCGGGAGGCAACCGAAGGAGGACAGGGAACAAAACAGTCAACCCCAACAGAAGCCTTTAATTTCTCTGGAACAACCAACAACCAAACAACAAGACCCCAAACCAAGGGCACACTTTTATGAAACCTTCGAAGTTGATATATGTGCCTCCTAGTTTCCCAGTTGACACGTGATGTGCACTTGAATTGTCTGCTATGAGTGTGAAGCATACGCACAAGGCACAGAGCTCAGCAGAGCACCTAAGAGGTGCTCGGAACCTACCCACAGTGTTTATGTGAAAGTTCCTGTCTAAGGACATGTAAACTTTTTTGTCCTGCATGCTGGCTCAGAGTTGTGTGTGTAGTTGTGGGAACTCCGTAGTTGTGCCTTGGAGGCTCGATGGAAGTGATGCTTTAAGTGGGAAAGCCTTTTGAAGTGCTTGAGTTGTAGGAATGTGTGTCTGGAAGCTGTAGAAGTGACTGTGCACGTTTTTGCTTGCTTTAGGTGTAGTTGGGCAGGTCCCGAGAACTCCCACTGACGTTTGAGTTTGTTTGTGGTTGTGGAGAACACGTGGCAGAGCAGAGTTTTCACCTGTGTGCAAAGAGTTTCACTGACGATGGTAGTGGAGCGTGTAGCACGCTCGTAGAAACTAGAAGCCATGGCTGACCCCGGGCTGTCGACCCCTGTGCCTGAAGACGAAGACGACAAAGCTTTGTTTGGCCCCGGTGGTGCCCAGGACGGGCAACAACCGCCAACAACCCCCGCTTCTGCTCCAGCGGGAGGACCCGTCGTCGGACTTGACCCTCAACTCCAGCAGATGATGGTCCAGATGATGCAGAGTCAGCAAATGATGATGCAGAATCAGCAACAGACACTTCAAGTTTTTGGTGGCAAAGATGGAGGCCGACGAGAGAAGAAGACGTGAGCAGGAAGCATTGTCTGCAGCTGTGAGCAACCCATTTGGGGGTGCTTCAAGTGCAGCAGCTGCTGGAAGTCCTACGGCAAAGGCTTCTTCTCCTCCACCGGCGCCATCACAGAACCTGCATGTTGGAAGTAACCGTGCAGAGAAGTATCTGCCAGCATTGCCGCTCATCGATAATGTGTCGATGGGAAAAGGGCGTGTGAGAGAGCTGGAGGAGTACCATCGGTGGTGCGAGGTGCTTGCTTCCTGGCTGGCGTTGATAGACGACAACTATGTCAATGAGTTGCGCCAGGCAATGACGCATGACCGTGAGATCAAGCAGTCTGACATGGCAGTTCCGGTAGCATCGCGTTCGGCAAGGTTGTTTTACTACCTGCAACAAAGTCTGCAGAAGTTCGAACGTGGGATGGAACTGGTGAGAAGCACGTCGATGCGTCAAGGACAAGCTGCTTGTGGTTATGAGGTGATGCGTCAAATGCACCAGACCTTCAGCATTGTCTCTCGCATGGAGGCCATTGCTGTGAGAGATGAAGCCCTTCGCCTAACTTCGAAGGCGAGTTCGTACAAGCGACCGCTTGACTGCGTCCGCTTCCTTGAGGACGAGCTTTGGGAAGGTAGACCAGAAGCTGCATCGGTTCCCTGAACTGAGGCTTGGAGCATCTGATCGTTCAACCCTTCTTCTTCAATCTGTCAGCCCAGAGTGTAGGCATTACGTTGTCCTGCATGGGAAGTCTGGGAGCTGGGAGGAACTGGTTGAAAGCATCCGGTTCTACGAGGAGCAAACCCGATTGTGTGATGCCGTTTCGCTGAATGCAGTTGGGGAGCGCGGCCTCTGCTGGAACTGTGGCAAATCAGGCCATATGAGTTGGCAGTGCCCCGACAAGAGCTCTGGAAAAGGGAAGAAGAGGGATGAACCGAAAGGTGGAAAGCCTTCTGGTTCCAAGAATCGAGAGAAGAGTCCTAAAGGCAAGGGCAAAGGCAAAGGGAAGACAGACAAAGGAAAGGGTGGAAAGCCCAAGGGGAAGCCCAAGAACAAAGGAAAGCCCAAGGGCCGAGCTGTGCAACACGAGCAGTCTGACCAGGTGATGGCGATGCGGTCTCATCATCTGAGTGGCTTGGGTCCGGGGACAAGAACTAATGAGCCCAATGAAGCTGAGCCCCCTCGTCTCACCATGACGAACGGAGAGATCGAGAGACTGAAGAAGTACGGCGCCTCGTCCTCGTCCGGCTCTGCTTCAAAAGCCTCATATTCTCCAGGGAGCTTCGCCTCGAGCTCCCCTTCGGCAATCGGAACCCTCTCCGGGTTCACAGCAAAAGCAGGATATTGTCCCCCCAGCAGCCAGGTCTGTTTGTGTCCATCCCATTGCATCACCGTATTTGCGCCGACGATCTCCTCGCCATTCAATCCAAGGTCATCAGCAAAACTCCTTAAAGTGCAAAGCAGCTCCTCCTCAATGTAACCGCCTCCATCGCCCCCCAATAGCAGTGTCTTGCAAACAGTGGTCTGGATCGCCTGGACCACCTGACGCGAAGTGAGGACGTAATCCTGTGACCCATGTTGAGCATACGCCCATCGCCCCAGATAGTCACGCCGGTCCTTTGATATCCCGATGGCGGCTGCAATGCTCACCACGAAGTGACGAGGACTGTGCCCTGTCCAAAAGTTTGCGACGTCGCCAGGCAGCAGCAGCTCTCGTTTCACCTTCCAGGTTCCCATTTGCCTCACCGGTGTAGGCAACTCCTTCAGCAAACGCCTCAACTGCAAGGCGAGGCCCTCCGCGTCCATGTATTCTCTCTTTGGCTCATCCCACTCACTTGTAAAGCAAGGGCATAGAAAATCTCGCGCCCATGAAAATCGTTCAGAAGTCAGCAGCTTGAAACCTTCCCCGAGCCAGTCAAAGCCACTAAGTCCCACGACCCGAGAAATGAACCCATGCAGCTCACCAACCTTGCGCCCAGGTCCACTCTCGTGATGATGTGGAACGAACTACCAGAGTCAATCAACCAGTAAACGCGATCATTTGAAGGAAAACTAACCACCTGGTTCGTGAGCATCATACCGAAGTGATATCCTTCCAGAAACGTCTTGATTGATGACTGTGCTTTTCCACTGCCTTTGGTTGTGGGCTGCGCTGCTGCTTTCGCCGATGTAGACGATGGAGACGATGGTGCCTCTGGCTGCGTCGTAACGGCCTGGCTCGTCGCCGCTGCGGCTTTGTCGTTCGGAAGTGCCCAGCAGTCGCGTGCCCAGTGTCCAGTCTTCCCGCAGTTCCGGCAGACATCTGTCTTCTTCGCCTCTCTGCTCTTGCTTCGAGCTTTGTCCCCTTTTCCGCTTCGCTCACCTTTCTTGTCCTTTCCTTTCGCTTTGCCGCCCTTCAGTCCCTTTTCTCCTTTCTCGCCTTTGTTGCCCTTGTTGCCCTTGGAGCCTTTGTTGCCCTTGTCTCTGTCGCCCTTTCCGCCTCTGCCACCCTTGAAGGCATTCGCATACCCGGATGCTCCTTCTCTCTGGAAGTCCATCACACGAAGCTGCTCGTCGTAAAACTGCAAACCAGTCATCAGCTCACCCATGCTCTTTGTTGAGTGATGGAGGAGCAGATATCTCTTGGTCTCAGAATCCAAGTGCTTCATCAGGCACAGGACTCCCTCTTGTTCTCCGATGAGCAACTCCGGGAAGCGATGCTTCACCTGCGCCTCGAACTTGAGAAGCTCGGTGGTGTACCACCTGGCGACATCAAGTGGTCGCTTGAGATGCTTTGGTGGCACCAGGCCTAACGCCTGTTCGCGGAGGGCCTGTCCCTCCACTCTGGAGCGAACTGACAATTCGTTGTTCAACGAGCGCCAGAGTTCGTATCCGGCACTTGCTCCCATTTGTTTCACCTCAATGAGATGCACCAAATCTTGCCCACGTTGGAACTTGCTCATGGACTGACGAAGCAAAAACCAAAGTTTGGTTGACCGGGCTGCTTTCCCGGCTTCAAGCCTCACTTGCAAGACTTCCACATTGCTACTGATCGCTTCTTGCAATTCCGTAGCGTAGCGGTCGTCGAGCAAACAAAGCCAACTCGTAAGTTCGTCTCTGTAGGCTGTCCAAACTCGGATTTCAGCATGTCTGCTCGTCATAGACGCATAGTTCAGCTGAGGCAACTGTGGAATGTAACCCTCTGCTCTCTTGTTTCGTACACCAGAGTCTACTTCCATGTCCACAGGAGTCGATGCATTCGCAGGTGCTGCTGAGGGGTCTCCTCCAGGTGTAGGACTCGTTGACGATGAAGATGCAGCTGCTGCAATATGCGCATTGGCAGCATTCGCACTTGCAAGCTGCAATGCTTGCGTAAGCATGGCACTCATTTGTTGAAGTTGAGCTGCCTGCTGTCGGATCTGCTCGTCCTGCGCTTGCAGCATTGCTCTCGTGAACTCCATCTGTTGAGCTACTCCAGGTGCAACGGGCAACTGCGTATTCGGAACTTGAAGGGGTTCTTGTGGTGCTGTCTGAGGGGGTGTTCCCATCTGGTAGAACTGAGGTCCAAACGAAGGCACAGCCCCGACTGGTGGCTGATGGCCTGCTCCAGTCGTAGCTGTCCACTGCCTTGGGTCTACTCCGCGTGGAACTGAAGCTGGTCGCGCTGGTAAAGACCTTCCACGTTCTCTTTTCCCACGGGCACTTGGTGACCTTGCACCAGAAAGCCCTGTGGAACTCAGGCTGCTTGCACTGCGGCCTCTCGGAGAACGGTCTCGTCCAGGCACACGTTCTTCACCATTGTCCATGCTGGAGCACGAAGCTCCGCTACCACGTTGAAACTCGTGGCACAGCTACGGGGGCCTAAGGGACCTCAGGTCAAGACTACACTTAACCCTCACAGCACGAAGTGCGGACTCTTTTTCACTGCGCTGTTCACAGCTTCTCGAGCTCCGCTCGTCTTGAGCCAATGCGAACACGGCTCTCCAGCTTCAAACACTGTCTGCCAGACATGGGAAAGCAAAGGTACTTCAGGTGAAAACACTCAGCCATGGAACTTCTACTCCTAAACTGTGAAAACACAGCAGCAGCGCGCTGAACCCTCTTTTTCTCACGACTTGAGCCAAAGTCATAAGCCGGAGGCTTCGTCAGTGAAACTCTTTACACACAGGTGAAAACTCTGCTCTGCCACGTGTTCTCCACAACCACAAAACAAACTCAAACGTCAGTGGGAGTTCTCGGGACCTACCCAACTACACCTAAAGCAAGCAAAAACGTGCACAGTCACTTCTACAGCTTCCAGACACACATCCCTACAACTCAAGCACTTCAAAAGGCTTTCCCACTTAAAGCAGCACTCCCGTCGAGCCTCCAAGGCACAACTACGGAGTTCCTACAACTACACACACAACTCTGAGCCAGCATGCAGGACAACAAAGTTAACATGTCCTTAGACAGGAACTTTCGTCTGCACGCTGCGAGGCGTAGCCACCCGAAGGGGCCGTTTGGACTGTGATGCCTCAGAGCCACGCACTTCTTCACAGCTCGGTGTTTCCAGTGCTTAAACATCTCATCCCAGGCAAAGTCCGAAAGCGAGCACTCCTACTGCCGACCTAAGAAGGTGTTCCTACAAGACCTAACGTGACTTTCGCAGCACGCAAAAGAGCTCTACCCAGTTTAGTCGGATAGATACCTGTTTCTTCGACACTAGCAAGTGAAACACGCTGATGACTTTTGTCACAGGGCTTTCCAGAGAAGATTTCACTCCACTCCTCTCGGTTTGTAGCAAAGAACCACCGCTTAAAGACCCCGTCGAAGGCACAACGGTCCACAACCCTTCCAAAGTTCAGACCAAGGCGCTTCTTTTCTTTCAGATAACTTTCCTCCTTCCAAAGACCACAGTTCTTTGGCCATTCCTGGGTAACCAGGATCTCTTTGCAGCGGTCCTCCAGAAGTCGTCCTAAAGCTTTCCAAGATGCAACATGCTTCTTGACCTGCTCTCGCCACCGATGTCGAAACTTCGGGCGATGCCAGTTCTTAAAGCGGTAGCTACATCCAGCGGTACACGGGGAAGCTATGTGGACATAGATCTGGGGCGGTTTCCTACTCAACAGACACAGCAAGACCTCTCCTAGAAACATTTGAGTACTCTTGCTTAAGAAGTCTTCTTTCTCAGTTATGCCTATATATGCTACTCGGTCACGAGCACACGCTCGGCACAACGCACTGTCCGTTGAACAAAACACCTCGATCACAAGCAGAGGAACAGATCCCAACGCAAGGTCTCTTGCCACTGGCTCGTACTTCGCCAGGTTTGTCGGGATTTTCTCAAGCTTTTCACATACTTCTTCAAGTTCTTCCATTCGTTCACGAAGGTGTTCAGGAACTACAAGACCCTGAAGGTCTTCTTCACACACTCTTTCCAGTCCACACGCAACCAGCAAATGCTCAAGCAACAACTCCTCAGGAGATTTCGTCAGTCCATCGGCTGGATTCCGTTCTCCACTGATGAAGCTTAGAATCAGCCTTTCCAGGTGGACTAGCTCTTGAAGATAGCGATGACGAAGCTCCAGGTGCCGAACACGGCGTAACAACCCCGTCATTTTGCTAATCGACAAAGCGGCTTCCGAATCCGAAGCCAGGTGAATCGGAAACTCACCGGTCTCTCCTTTGGGCATTCCATACAGGAGCGTTTCCATGAGCAAAGACAAGTACACCGACTCTTTGGCTGCCTCAGTCAGGGCTGCCAATTCGGCCTCCGCCGAACTCAACGCGGTCACCGACTGTTTCCGCGAGAAAGTTTTGATCATGATGCCATGCCACTTCACGATAGCACCAGACACAGAGCAAATGTTCCATGACGCATCCACAAAGCCAGAGAGCCTGGTTTCCGAAGCGCAGCAAGGATACTCCAACGCTTCTGCCGAAAATCGCTGAAGGTACTCAGGCAAAGCCATCACCCAGCGAACCACGCGTCTCAAGCAAGCTTCTGCCTGGCTATCTGGGTCACTCTGATACCGGCCCAGAAATCCTACCGGGTAGGACAAATGCGGCAACGTCAGGCTTGCCCACATCAACTTACCAAGCACACGTCTATAGCGTTCATACGCCTCAGTGCTGATAGGTGTTCCAGCCTCCTTCTTCCGGTACTCCCTCTCGAGGTTTCCCAGCACTGGTTTCACACCTTTTCCGCTAATGCCAAACTCTTCTCCAAGCGACTTCAAGTACCCCGGCTTCAGGCCAAAGAACACAGGCCCGTGCTCAGTGGTTCGGGCGATCACTCGACCCAAGAACTCGAGCTGCCCAGTCTTGCCAGGTTCTAGAAGCCCTGTCTGCTTCATTTTATAGATCTTCGCTAGCTTAGCGTACAGATCCTTGGCAACTGGCGGATTCTGGGAAAAGATGATGAGATCGTCAACATACACTAACACCAAGGTCAGCGCACCATCCTTCTCAAGCCGGTGATGCACAGTAGGGTCGGCAGTCTCACCAAACCCAAACTGCTTACGCAGCGTGCTTGTAAACTCTAGGTACCAGCTCAGTGGTCCTACTCTCAAGCCATTCATGGCTTTGTGTAGCTGCGCAAACAGCGGCTTGTTCTCCTCATCATACATCCCATTCGGAAACCGGATACACTCTACTCCCTGCACAGGCGCTTGCATGAAGGCAACGCTCACATCTGCTGACAACAAGGTGCCACCTCTGACAGCATGAATAGCAAGGACACCCCTCAAGGCTTCCAAAGACGTGGTGGGGGAATATATCCCATCAGCTAGAGGATTGGATCCAAATGCATAGTCTCTCACAACAAGACGAGCACGAACTCGTTC